GCTCAAACGCTAGATCAATCCCTCCTTTACTAGTCGCTCAAAACGCTGCCGTACGCTCGGAACGCAGAATGCTGACGCAAATTATAAACGCAGCCTTACATTGCTCATACCTGTTGAACTAAAGCATCTGTGGCTGCTTCAAGAATCACTGGTTTCAGCATGTCAGCACTGGACAAATTCCACAGAGCAGCAGTTGCTTCTTCTTTCACTGCAGCATCGGGTGAGTTGTAAAGTACAGCAGCTAACATCCGCACTCCATCAGCATCAAGGATGGCCAGCTGGAGAAGGGCAAACCGATTACGGATCAGTGCAAGGCAGCGTACAGACCATGCGATGAAGTACGTCGACGCGCTGCGACGCGCCGTAACGCCTAAGGTTACAGCAGCGCTCTAATTCTGAAGACACGGATGCAGCCACAGCCGGGCCGGCGTTAGCCACTTGTGTCCTGAGAGAGTATAGGGTAAGAAGAGGGTGGGTGCTGCCTTCAAGCTATCTGGTACTCTCCCGTCTTCTATACTCTCCTAGAGCGCTAGTGGTCAGTGCTGATCGATACCAGATTGCGTGAACAGGCGACGCGTAGCCCACTGTTCCCCCCCCCCCTACTCTACCGTTGGAGAAGCGGCCGACGCCAATCGATTTCCGTCTGCGGATGCGTTCGCGTCTTCAGCACAGGAGCGCTTCGGCCGCGTTCACAGCGCCTCCGTGGAATTTTTAGAATAAGCAAAGTATACGTATCGATTTGGAAATTCCACGGAGGCCGCGGAGGCGCTGTGTATGAACGCGGCCTTTGCTACTGTAGCGCGTCGATGCGAAGTCTGAACGCTGCCTAATGCAGCAAAAGGGAAGGAAACAATAGAGTAGAATAAAAAATGGAACAAAAACTTTTAAAAAACCCTACTTTATTCCGGTCGTTTTCCTTTCCAAAGCAAAGGTTTTTCAAGCACGCGGCGGCGTTCTTCTGAATAACTGGCATATCACTTCTCAGCAACTGGATCAATTTCGGAATTCCACCATACTCCCTGTAAACCATTACAAATTATAGTTTTTATTGCCGACGCTGAACTACACGTTTCACCAAGTTGAGACCAGTAAACTCTTGTCGAGTACAAAAGAAGCCCATGCTACTGCATAGCTTCACCGGAATTCACAGGTCTACACAGCAAGGCATCGGCAGTGATCGATGGGAAGCAAAAAATGCCCCCACCAAGCCAAACTGCGCCAGAATTCAGAATCAAAAACGAAAACAGCTTTTCGAAGAGTATTGAAGCTTTAAATCTCACCTGGTCTCATCTTTTATGAGATTATCGCTGAACGTCAAGTGTTGCAGGTATCCACTCGCATTAAGCTGCTTTTCCCTGTCAGGATTATCCAGATAGTCGATCACTTCTTTCAACGAGGGATCGCGCCATTGCACTAAAAATTCTTTAGGAAGTGCAAACTCTGATGGTGAATAAAATAAGCTGTTCAGTTGTTCTAACAGATATCTAGACGCAAAAAACTACTACTTATAAGAGATCTCTCACAATTGCCGTTCCCCTTTCCATGACGTAAAGGTGGTGGTGAATCGTCTCGCTCAGGGAGCGGAGGGGACTCCCGAACCATTTCTTCCATGAGCAATTTGACAGCACCAAAGCGCTCCGCTTCCATATATTTACCCTCACCAACTGCAAAGATAACTCAGAATTCTCAGCACAACCACTCTGAAAACCTTAAGCAAACCAAGGCTCACTTGCAGCTACATGGATTTTTACAGGAGGTGATGCTTCTGATGGTTCCGAACAACCGACGACATTATGAGCAAGCACTCGAAACTGATATTCGTGGCCAACAATCAGATCGCCAACTAGAAACAACGCAATACGATAGAAAAAAGGAAAGCATTACAGCAAGTTCAGGATAACATAAATTTGAACTTAAAGTTGAAGTTAAAGTCACACCCCGCGCAGGAATGGTGATTCGTGCGGCTGACATGCTAAGGCAAGTGGAAATTAACACAATGTAAAGAAAAAGCAGCGAAAAAAGCTCGAAATGCCGCATATAGAACCCCGTGCCGAACCGTCTCTATACGTAAGGCGAGGGAAGGGCGTGATCGGACAAACTTTCATTTTGGTTTCTTTCTCCATACCACTTCATTATCATCATTCGTAATGGAGAGGGTTGGTAGGGGAACAACCGCACCATCGGTAGCACTTGGAAATGAAAGCTAGGCGTCGCCGTGACCAATGGGCAAACCCATGACGCCGTCACGAGCGGCAGTGCTTTTCTAACGATTCTCGAACTGCGAAAAAGTTCATACTTCATGCTTTTAGGCAAGATTACCATGTTCAAAAAAGGCGACTGAACACCAAATGAACGTGGGGCGCGCCCTTGAGGCACTGTTCACAGTCTGCGACCCTGACGAAACAGCGGTTCGGCGAAAAGCAATAAATACGTATTGATCGGAGAATCGCCAACCGCTCTGGAGAAACGCCGGCGCAGTTCGGAGAAAAACAATAGATGTGTATCGATCTAGCTCCGCCCTAGAGAAGAACGCCAGGGCGGTCGGGCCAGCGTTTTTCGCCCAACCGCTTCGCCGAACCGCCCGTCGATACGTATCAAAACCGTTTCGCGCAACCGCCAGACTCTTCGCCCAACCGCCAATCGATACGTATCGAAAGCTTTCCGCCGAGGTGTTTCTTTCTTTTTTCAAACGCTGAGTCGCAGACTGCGAACAATGCCTGATGCCAAAAAGTTCAGAAGGAAACTTGTACGCCAAGGAGAAGATAGGGGAAGTGGATTTCCAAGGCTGTACTCCATTGCAGAATTCTTTGGTGTTCAGTTAGAACCAAAAAGGTACAAAATAATTGAAACCGGCATCAACTGACCCATTAAACTACGAGACCCCTTCATTAAAGAAGATTTTTTTACAACAGGGCTCCCAGAGGGAATAGAAAATGAATAAGGAGACCCTTCTCACGGTAACAAAGAACAAAAGATATTTGGAAAAGTTTCACAATTTCAACGGTTAAATGGCCTTTGAACAAAGAGAAGGGAAAATAGTGTTGCTCAGCTATCTTACCGGTCATTTTGCAGGCGTGAACGGGCTGATCATTCACTTTATACCAACCAGCATCTTGTTGGAAATCACGGAATTCAACATCGTAACCCTGGAATTAAACGAGCGTTTGGAGCAAGTCACAGATAAAAAGTTTGTCTTCCAGCGCAGAATACACTCACTAAAACGGGAAGTGTGCTCCGTGCAGGTAACCAGCATATCGTTATCCTCTCGCCATCAATTTCCAGATATTCGGGAGCTTGTGGTCGGGCAGGAACGCCTCGAGCGGTGGATGCTGAAAGGTGAGCCGTTGAAAGTTAGTGTCAGCACAGGTACTACAGATTCCGGTTCCAAATTGAAAGACAGAAAATATGAATGCCTTACGTCTCCAAAGTGGACGGAGCGATATAACATCGGATACTTCCGAAGGCCTGGATGCTGAATCGCCAGAAACGCCAACCACGCGGAATTCATAGGTGGATCCAGGTCGGAGTCCTTCCACTGCAAGAAATCGGGATAAGGGAAACTTGAATACAAAAAAGACAAGAAGATTTTAACGAAGTTAACAAAAACTATCCGAAACTGACACTGCAGTAGATCGAAACGTCACAGAGTTTCAGGTTGGATTCCTCTTCAAAATGAATAACCACCAAATTGCTGGTCGCGTACTACGAAATCGCGCAGGTTTAGCACATATTACTCAGGCTGCGTTCATACTTTGCGTCAGCGTTTTCAGCGACTGGGAAAGTATAGATAGCGATCAAGCGTTTCAAGTGTACACCAGCTTTTTCAGAGACTGCCCGTGGAAGATTCAAAACTACCCGCGAAACGCTCAAAACGCTGGCGTACGCTTGAAACGCTGACGCAAAGTTTGAACGCAGTCTCACACTTTCAGCGTTAGGTTATGAAGGGTCAATATGAACTTAAAGACAGCGTCCGCGATCAACCAAAGTGCAGAAATCCTTTAGAGTACAAGATGGCGGAGCTTGTGGTCACAGCGGATATCCCTTTTTCGCGGCTCAAAAGCGCTTGATAAAAGCACGACAGCTCAGCAACGATAAGCTGACTCCGCCTATGAGGGCGGAGTCAACAAGTTCCAACACATTTTCATTTTTTCATTACGAAGATTCACTAGCGTTGATAATTGCTAATCTTCTCTACGCCGTGGGGAACGAGTCGCAGCAATGGCGATTAGATTCAAAGAACTCGCCCAAAGTTTAATTAACTCGTCCATTTTCAATCCCGTACATGAGGCCTTTTTAGGGCATTTTCAACGGGTTCTTTTGCTTTTTTCTTCCTTAGCATTGTACTTACAACATGATCTAGTGGTTCCAAGCTCAACAACCAGCGACAGGCAATGCGGGCACTGTCTTTAAGTGAGATAGCAATATCACATAACATTCACGACCAGGAAAGCTGTACTGTCTCATCGCTAACGACGTCACCACGCGTCATCAGCATGCCATGTGACGTCAACGACGGTCATCCACTCCTTAACTGGTGACGCAGTGGATCGCGTACTTAGGCCACATGGATGCATTGAAAAATTCTCGTTTCGCGTTTTTTCGTAGTTCTATCGATATTACTGCAGCCTCTTCGCTGCGGATGATGATCTGTGTCAAGGGGAATGGGTTTGGCGTACACCAGCCCTATTTTCTTACTGTGTTCTATCTTTTGTATCAGT